CGTCGGGTCTCTCAAATGTGCCACTGAGTCATATATATCTTGTATCAACCCACATACTTAGCAAGGATTCGTCGTCATTTGATGGTATTAACCTAATATGCACACCATTGTCGATATGCATTGAATTTATCATATGGACGCGGGAGGCGCTATCAGCTATCAAGATAGCAAATGTGTCAGTAGGCTTGTTTGTCTGTTAGTGTTTGTGAGAGAGAGAGAGAGAGAGAGAGAGAGAGAGAGAGAGAGAGAGAGAGAGAGAGAGAGAGAGAGAGAGAGAGTCCATGATAAACCAGTGTGCATATGAATCATTCCTCATACCAATTTGGTAAGAGGTAAATGTATTGGCGGCCAGAGCATTCTCACTTAAGCCCAGTGATCCCCGTACACAATAAAAGAGAAGATAATGTGTAATCAGATTTAACACTTTGGAGTGTATTTTTATTCAGAGGTCTGGTCAAACAAAATACAAGATCATCATGTTTTACATGAGTTGTTGTTTCCCCGTTGTCCAGCAGCAGTGGAATAAAAAACAAGGGCTTTCTCGTGACACATCTTTCTGAAATGAAGAATAGGCCAAAGTTATCAGGCATGTCATTTCTACTAAAATTTGCAGAGGACATTGCCTCCGAGATATATACTTTATGTTTACAGAAACGAGTATTCCCGAGGAAAGAGTTCATCCCGTCAGGCGTTAATTGTTCTTTGGAAAATACAGTTAAGAACGTTTGCAACACAACCATTGTGAGATCTAACCGTCTACCTACCAGCTGCTATGTTTATCCATGGTGCCCCTTTCCTCCATGGCCGCCTCCATGTCCTTTGCCCCCGTGTCCGCCACCATGGCCTCCGTGTCCCTTGCCCCCATGGCCACCACCATGACCTTTGCCGCCATGACCCTTTCCACCTCCATGACCGCCTCCATGACCATGACCATGACCACCACCATGACCCTTGGCCATGCTGGTTCCGAACACTGCAGCAAGAACTGTCAGAAAGAGAAAACACAATACATTATTTGCGACGCTGATAATGTGTACTGTTCAGGCTAGTTAAAAGCAATTATTAAGACGTAAACACAGTCACATCACGTTAATAAAATGTTGACAGTTGGAGTAGATGGCATATCATATTTAGGTTTCCTATATAGATTGACAGTGACTGTCAAGTAACTTTTCTCACAAATGATCTGAACTTTCAGCCAGGCGATTATACAGCGTGACTAGTGTAGATTTACATTTAGGCACCAACGAGGTATGCTCACCTGCTACAAGGAGCACTGCGACTTTAAGAAAATGCATATTTGATGGTTCTGATGAATGCAAACCTCAGAAAACGTAAAGTTACCTTCTGCACGTTCTCTTTTATAGAGGTGTAACAGCATGTTCTGTGCATGCATGGGGATGCGGCGCACCTTTCCAAATCAGATTAATTAACCAGATGTTTAATTTCTACATCAACTGCACTTTTTTCAATTTTACTTTTTCTCAAGCGTTTGAACTTTTGCATTAATCTCCCGCCACGATCTCCGCATGTCCTAATATAGATATGGCCCAGCTTTTAGGTGTTGTCTGTTAGGGAGAAATTACTTTGTGTCCTTTGTTCAAATTAAGTTTGTTATTGTTATCGAATACATGCCACAGAGACAATTGAAATAGTTCTTGTACCGACAAAAGGTAAGAGGGTATGGTGAAGGCCAGTCTAATGGTTATTGATAAAGGGGGTTGAACTACATGTATGTGTAAAACGAAAACATTTAGCCGACAGCAAATCACCACATGCATCGCTTGCGGGATATTAATAGGCTTCCTTGGAGCTCTGCGGTGTGCTTGGTGTGTAGCTAAAACCACTGTGACATCACCACAAGCGTTACAAAGCAGTTTATGCAATAATATCATTATGATATAATTTTTCTACCATTTCCGCGATCGCGAGGTATATAAGTTCGTAAAAAACTGGCAGCTATCAGTTTTTTCCTTTCGCTTACCAAAGAAGGACATTACGATACAATATGCAGTTCTCTAACTTCGCCGCACTTCTTGGCCTTGGTGAGTATTATCATTCTGTTGTCATGCTATATCAGTTTAAATGGTATTAGCTGTCCGAAATAAAACGCTGGAAAGTAACATGTCCCATGCAATCTTTAAAATGGAGTTGTTTGTGTGTGATATGACAGTATTGTAACTCCAAATCCTATATTCCAACAGCGTAAAAGTGTTAATTTCACAGGAAAGTGTGTTGCTTCAAGTTTCAAGCAACATCCTCCTCAACATCTACTATATAAAGTGTAATGCTTTATACATGGGCGTGTCTTTGTTTATTTTCCAGCTCTGGCAGCCGTTTTGGGTTTGGCTAGTGCTCACGGTCATGGTGGCCACGGACATGGTGGTCATGGACATGGTGGTCACGGACATGGAGGTCATGGACATGGACATGGTGGTCACGGTCATGGAGGACATGGTCATGGTCACGGAGGTCATGGTCACGGAGGTCATGGCCACGGAGGACACGGTCACCACGGATGAAGCTGCCGAGACGTTGGGGATTGATATCCTAAGTACACAGTCACATGAGAATCTGGATGCTGGGAATCCACTGTGTAGTCGATAACCTATTGTATTGATTGTGATTCGTGTATCATCATTGCCTCAAAGAATTAAAACATCGATCTGACAATTATGCTACTGTTTGTATTATTCATTCTCTTCTATATGGATGCTAGAATGACTACAGAACTAAAGCAATTGTGCAAATAAAATAATACTTAGTGCATGTACATAACAGCCCAAGTGACAGACGTAGGTTTAAGTCTGACAGCAAGAGAGTATGGTCTGAGATATGATAAGACGACACATCCTTGTTTCGTGCATGCTATAAAATCCACTCCCCGAAACACCATGGCTCATGTCATCCAAAATGCCGTAGTGTTTAACTGCAGCTATAAAGCAACTTAGGATAGAGGTAGTAATCAGTCCAATTCTGCACAACGCCTGCTCTATGGCATGTCCCAACTACTTTCAACTGGTACGTGCGTCGGGTCTCTCAAATGTGCCACTGAGTCATATATATCTTGTATCAACCCACATACTTAGCAAGGATTCGTCGTCATTTGATGGTATTAACCTAATATGCACACCATTGTCGATATGCATTGAATTTATCATATGGACGCGGGAGGCGCTATCAGCTATCAAGATAGCAAATGTGTCAGTAGGCTTGTTTGTCTGTTAGTGTTTGTGAGAGAGAGAGAGAGAGAGAGAGAGAGAGAGAGAGAGAGAGAGAGAGAGAGAGAGAGAGAGAGAGAGAGAGAGAGAGTCCATGATAAACCAGTGTGCATATGTATCATTCCTCATACCAATTTGGTAAGAGGTAAATGTATTGGCGGCCAGAGCATTCTCACTTAAGCCCAGTGATCCCCGTACACAATAAAAGAGAAGATAATGTGTAATCAGATTTAACACTTTGGAGTGTATTTTTATTCAGAGGTCTGGTCAAACAAAATACAAGATCATCATGTTTTACATGAGTTGTTGTTTCCCCGTTGTCCAGCAGCAGTGGAATAAAAAACAAGGGCTTTCTCGTGACACATCTTTCTGAAATGAAGAATAGGCCAAAGTTATCAGGCATGTCATTTCTACTAAAATTTGCAGAGGACATTGCCTCCGAGATATATACTTTATGTTTACAGAAACGAGTATTCCCGAGGAAAGAGTTCATCCCGTCAGGCGTTAATTGTTCTTTGGAAAATACAGTTAAGAACGTTTGCAACACAACCATTGTGAGATCTAACCGTCTACCTACCAGCTGCTATGTTTATCCATGGTGCCCCTTTCCTCCATGGCCGCCTCCATGTCCTTTGCCCCCGTGTCCGCCACCATGGCCTCCGTGTCCCTTGCCCCCATGGCCACCACCATGACCTTTGCCGCCATGACCCTTTCCACCTCCATGACCGCCTCCATGACCATGACCATGACCACCACCATGACCCTTGGCCATGCTGGTTCCGAACACTGCAGCAAGAACTGTCAGAAAGAGAAAACACAATACATTATTTGCGACGCTGATAATGTGTACTGTTCAGGCTAGTTAAAAGCAATTATTAAGACGTAAACACAGTCACATCACGTTAATAAAATGTTGACAGTTGGAGTAGATGGCATATCATATTTAGGTTTCCTATATAGATTGACAGTGACTGTCAAGTAACTTTTCTCACAAATGATCTGAACTTTCAGCCAGGCGATTATACAGCGTGACTAGTGTAGATTTACATTTAGGCACCAACGAGGTATGCTCACCTGCTACAAGGAGCACTGCGACTTTAAGAAAATGCATATTTGATGGTTCTGATGAATGCAAACCTCAGAAAACGTAAAGTTACCTTCTGCACGTTCTCTTTTATAGAGGTGTAACAGCATGTTCTGTGCATGCATGGGGATGCGGCGCACCTTTCCAAATCAGATTAATTAACCAGATGTTTAATTTCTACATCAACTACACTTTTTTCAATTTTACTTTTTCTCAAGCGTTTGAACTTTTGCATTAATCTCCCGCCACGATCTCCGCATGTCCTAATATAGATATGGCCCAGCTTTTAGGTGTTGTCTGTTAGGGAGAAATTACTTTGTGTCCTTTGTTCAAATTAAGTTTGTTATTGTTATCGAATACATGCCACAGAGACAATTGAAATAGTTCTTGTACCGACAAAAGGTAAGAGGGTATGGTGAAGGCCAGTCTAATGGTAATTGATAAAGGGGGTTGAACTACATGTATGTGTAAAACGAAAACATTTAGCCGACAGCAAATCACCACATGCATCGCTTGCGGGATATTAATAGGCTTCCTTGGAGCTCTGCGGTGTGCTTGGTGTGTAGCTAAAACCACTGTGACATCCCCACAAGCGTTACAAAGCAGTTTATGCAATAATATCATTATGATATATTTTTTCTACCATTTCCGCGATCGCGAGGTATATAAGTTCGTAAAAAACTGGCAGCTATCAGTTTTTTCCTTTCGCTTACCAAAGAAGGACATTACGATACAATATGCAGTTCTCTAACTTCGCCGCACTTCTTGGCCTTGGTGAGTATTATCATTCTGTTGTCATGCTATATCAGTTTAAATGGTATTAGCTGTCCGAAATAAAACGCTGGAAAGTAACATGTCCCATGCAATCTTTAAAATGGAGTTGTTTGTGTGTGATATGACAGTATTGTAACTCCAAATCCTATATTCCAACAGCGTAAAAGTGTTGATTTCACAGGAAAGTGTGTTGCTTCAAGTTTCAAGCAACATCCTCCTCAACATCTACTATATAAAGTGTAATGCTTTATACATGGGCGTGTCTTTGTTTATTTTCCAGCTCTGGCAGCCGTTTTGGGTTTGGCTAGTGCTCACGGTCATGGTGGCCACGGACATGGTGGTCATGGACATGGTGGTCACGGACATGGAGGTCATGGACATGGACATGGTGGTCACGGTCATGGAGGACATGGTCATGGTCACGGAGGTCATGGTCACGGAGGTCATGGTCACGGAGGTCATGGCCACGGAGGACACGGTCACCACGGATGAAGCTGCCGAGACGTTGGGTTTGATATCCTAAGTACACAGTCACATGAGAATCTGGATGCTGGGAATCCACTGTGTAGTCGATAACCTATTGTATTGATTGTGATTCGTGTATCATCATTGCCTCAAAGAATTAAAACATCGATCTGACAATTATGCTACTGTTTGTATTATTCATTCTCTTCTATATGGATGCTAGAATGACTACAGAACTAAAGCAATTGTGCAAATAAAATAATACTTAGTGCATGTACATAACAGCCCAAGTGACAGACGTAGGTTTAAGTCTGACAGCAAGAGAGTATGGTCTGAGATATGATAAGACGACACATCCTTGTTTCGTGCATGCTATAAAATCCACTCCCCGAAACACCATGGCTCATGTCATCCAAAATGCCGTAGTGTTTAACTGCAGCTATAAAGCAACTTAGGATAGAGGTAGTAATCAGTCCAATTCTGCACAACGCCTGCTCTATGGCATGTCCCAACTACTTTCAACTGGTACGTGCGTCGGGTCTCTCAAATGTGCCACTGAGTCATATATATCTTGTATCAACCCACATACTTAGCAAGGATTCGTCGTCATTTGATGGTATTAACCTAATATGCACACCATTGTCGATATGCATTGAATTTATCATATGGACGCGGGAGGCGCTATCAGCTATCAAGATAGCAAATGTGTCAGTAGGCTTGTTTGTCTGTTAGTGTTTGTGTGAGAGAGAGAGAGAGAGAGAGAGAGAGAGAGAGAGAGAGAGAGAGAGAGAGAGAGAGAGAGAGAGAGAGAGAGTCCATGATAAACCAGTGTGCATATGAATCATTCCTCATACCAATTTGGTAAGAGGTAAATGTATTGGCGGCCAGAGCATTCTCACTTAAGCCCAGTGATCCCCGTACACAATAAAAGAGAAGATAATGTGTAATCAGATTTAACACTTTGGAGTGTATTTTTATTCAGAGGTCTGGTCAAACAAAATACAAGATCATCATGTTTTACATGAGTTGTTGTTTCCCCGTTGTCCAGCAGCAGTGGAATAAAAAACAAGGGCTTTCTCGTGACACATCTTTCTGAAATGAAGAATAGGCCAAAGTTATCAGGCATGTCATTTCTACTAAAATTTGCAGAGGACATTGCCTCCGAGATATATACTTTATGTTTACAGAAACAAGTATTCCCGAGGAAAGAGTTCATCCCGTCAGGCGTTAATTGTTCTTTGGAAAATACAGTTAAGAACGTTTGCAACACAACCATTGTGAGATCTAACCGTCTACCTACCAGCTGCTATGTTTATCCATGGTGCCCATTTCCTCCATGGCCGCCTCCATGTCCTTTGCCCCCGTGTCCGCTACCATGGCCTCCGTGTCCCTTGCCCCCATGGCCACCACCATGACCTTTGCCGCCATGACCCTTTCCACCTCCATGACCGCCTCCATGACCATGACCATGACCACCACCATGACCCTTGGCCATGCTGGTTCCGAACACTGCAGCAAGAACTGTCAGAAAGAGAAAACACAATACATTATTTGCGACGCTGATAATGTGTACTGTTCAGGCTAGTTAAAAGCAATTATTAAGACGTAAACACAGTCACATCGCGTTAATAAAATGTTGACAGTTGGAGTAGATGGCATATCATATTTAGGTTTCCTATATAGATTGACAGTGACTGTCAAGTAACTTTTCTCACAAATGATCTGAACTTTCAGCCAGGCGATTATACAGCGTGACTAGTGTAGATTTACATTTAGGCACCAACGAGGTATGCTCACCTGCTACAAGGAGCACTGCGACTTTAAGAAAATGCATATTTGATGGTTCTGATGAATGCAAACCTCAGAAAACGTAAAGTTACCTTCTGCACGTTCTCTTTTATAGAGGTGTAACAGCATGTTCTGTGCATGCATGGGGATGCGGCGCACCTTTCCAAATCAGATTAATTAACCAGATGTTTAATTTCTACATCAACTGCACTTTTTTCAATTTTACTTTTTCTCAAGCGTTTGAACTTTTGCATTAATCTCCCGCCACGATCTCCGCATGTCCTAATATAGATATGGCCCAGCTTTTAGGTGTTGTCTGTTAAGGAGAAATTACTTTGTGTCCTTTGTTCAAATTAAGTTTGTTATTGTTATCGAATACATGCCACAGAGACAATTGAAATAGTTCTTGTACCGACAAAAGGTAAGAGGGTATGGTGAAGGCCAGTCTAATGGTAATTGATAAAGGGGGTTGAACTACATGTATGTGTAAAACGAAAACATTTAGCCGACAGCAAATCACCACATGCATCGCTTGCGGGATATTAATAGGCTTCCTTGGAGCTCTGCGGTGTGCTTGGTGTGTAGCTAAAACCACTGTGACATCACCACAAGCGTTACAAAGCAGTTTATGCAATAATATCATTATGATATAATTTTTCTACCATTTCCGCGATCGCGAGGTATATAAGTTCGTAAAAAACTGGCAGCTATCAGTTTTTTCCTTTCGCTTACCAAAGAAGGACATTACGATACAATATGCAGTTCTCTAACTTCGCCGCACTTCTTGGCCTTGGTGAGTATTATCATTCTGTTGTCATGCTATATCAGTTTAAATGGTATTAGCTGTCCGAAATAAAACGCTGGAAAGTAACATGTCCCATGCAATCTTTAAAATGGAGTTGTTTGTGTGTGATATGACAGTATTGTAACTCCAAATCCTATATTCCAACAGCGTAAAAGTGTTAATTTCACAGGAAAGTGTGTTGCTTCAAGTTTCAAGCAACATCCTCCTCAACATCTACTATATAAAGTGTAATGCTTTATACATGGGCGTGTCTTTGTTTATTTTCCAGCTCTGGCAGCCGTTTTGGGTTTGGCTAGTGCTCACGGTCATGGTGGCCACGGACATGGTGGTCATGGACATGGTGGTCACGGACATGGAGGTCATGGACATGGACATGGTGGTCACGGTCATGGAGGACATGGTCATGGTCACGGAGGTCATGGTCACGGAGGTCATGGTCACGGAGGTCATGGCCACGGAGGACACGGTCACCACGGATGAAGCTGCCGAGACGTTGGGGATTGATATCCTAAGTACACAGTCACATGAGAATCTGGATGCTGGGAATCCACTGTGTAGTCGATAACCTATTGTATTGATTGTGATTCGTGTATCATCATTGCCTCAAAGAATTAAAACATCGATCTGACAATTATGCTACTGTTTGTATTATTCATTCTCTTCTATATGGATGCTAGAATGACTACAGAACTAAAGCAATTGTGCAAATAAAATAATACTTAGTGCATGTACATAACAGCCCAAGTGACAGACGTAGGTTTAAGTCTGACAGCAAGAGAGTATGGTCTGAGATATGATAAGACGACACATCCTTGTTTCGTGCATGCTATAAAATCCACTCCCCGAAACACCATGGCTCATGTCATCCAAAATGCCGTAGTGTTTAACTGCAGCTATAAAGCAACTTAGGATAGAGGTAGTAATCAGTCCAATTCTGCACAACGCCTGCTCTATGGCATGTCCCAACTACTTTCAACTGGTACGTGCGTCGGGTCTCTCAAATGTGCCACTGAGTCATATATATCTTGTATCAACCCACATACTTAGCAAGGATTCGTCGTCATTTGATGGTATTAACCTAATATGCACACCATTGTCGATATGCATTGAATTTATCATATGGACGCGGGATGCGCTATCAGCTATCAAGATAGCAAATGTGTCAGTAGGCTTGTTTGTCTGTTAGTGTTTGTGAGAGAGAGAGAGAGAGAGAGAGAGAGAGAGAGAGAGAGAGAGAGAGAGAGAGAGAGAGAGAGAGAGAGAGAGATAGAGAGAGTCCATGATAAACCAGTGTGCATATGAATCATTCCTCATACCAATTTGGTAAGAGGTAAATGTATTGGCGGCCAGAGCATTCTCACTTTAGCCCAGTTATCCCCGTACACAATAAAAGAGAAGATAATGTGTAATCAGATTTAACACTTTGGAGTGTATTTTTATTCAGAGGTCTGGTCAAACAAAATACAAGATCATCATGTTTTACATGAGTTGTTGTTTCCCCGTTGTCCAGCAGCAGTGGAATAAAAAACAAGGGCTTTCTCGTGACACATCTTTCTGAAATGAAGAATAGGCCAAAGTTATCAGGCATGTCATTTCTACTAAAATTTGCAGAGGACATTGCCTCCGAGATATATACTTTATGTTTACAGAAACGAGTATTCCCGAGGAAAGAGTTCATCCCGTCATGCGTTAATTGTTCTTTGGAAAACACAGTTAAGAACGTTTGCAACACAACCATTGTGAGATCTAACCGTCTACCTACCAGCTGCTATGTTTATCCATGGTGCCCCTTTCCTCCATGGCCGCCTCCATGTCCTTTGCCCCCGTGTCCGCCACCATGGCCTCCGTGTCCCTTGCCCCCATGGCCACCACCATGACCTTTGCCGCCATGACCCTTTCCACCTCCATGACCGCCTCCATGACCATGACCATGACCACCACCATGACCCTTGGCCATGCTGGTTCCGAACACTGCAGCAAGAACTGTCAGAAAGAGAAAACACAATACATTATTTGCGACGCTGATAATGTGTACTGTTCAGGCTAGTTAAAAGCAATTATTAAGACGTAAACACAGTCACATCGCGTTAATAAAATGTTGACAGTTGGAGTAGATGGCATATCATATTTAGGTTTCCTATATAGATTGACAGTGACTGTCAAGTAACTTTTCTCACAAATGATCTGAACTTTCAGCCAGGCGATTATACAGCGTGACTAGTGTAGATTTACATTTAGGCACCAACGAGGTATGCTCACCTGCTACAAGGAGCACTGCGACTTTAAGAAAATGCATATTTGATGGTTCTGATGAATGCAAACCTCAGAAAACGTAAAGTTACCTTCTGCACGTTCTCTTTTATAGAGGTGTAACAGCATGTTCTGTGCATGCATGGGGATGCGGCGCACCTTTCCAAATCAGATTAATTAACCAGATGTTTAATTTCTACATCAACTGCACTTTTTTCAATTTTACTTTTTCTCAAGCGTTTGAACTTTTGCATTAATCTCCCGCCACGATCTCCGCATGTCCTAATATAGATATGGCCCAGCTTTTAGGTGTTGTCTGTTAAGGAGAAATTACTTT